CAAAAAGTTAGATAACCTAGATGAAATGGATATATTGCTAAAAGCCTGAGAAAATCTATAACTTGCAAGGAGATTTAATCAGTCATTTAAAAATCTTCCAACAAAGAAAAGTCCTATATCAGATAACTTCACCAGATAATTCCACCAAATATTTACAGAAGAACTAATGCTAAATCTCCTCAAACATTTCTAAAAAATTGAAGAGGATGGAACACTTCCAAACTTATTTTATGAGGGCAGCATAACCCTAATACTAAAGTTGTTAAAGATACTACAAGGAAAGAAGATTATAGGTCAATATCCCTGACGAATATAAGTGTAAAAATTCCCAACAAAATACTAGCAAACCAAATTTAGTAACACATTAACAGGATCACATACCATGACCAAGTGGGATTTATGTCTAGGATGCAAACATAGTTCAACATACAAAAGCCATTTAGTGTGATATACCATGTTAACAGAATGAAGGATAAAACCACATGATCATCTCAACAGATGCAGAAAAAGCATTTGACAAAATTCAACACCCTTTCATGATCTAAATATGTATCGTGTATGTGTATGCAAATTAAGAGTAGACAAAAATTACCTTAACATGATAAAAGCTATATATGAAAAGCACATAATGAACATCATACTCAATGGAGAAAAACTGAAAGCTTTTCCTCTAAGAAGAGGAACATGGAAAGGATGCCTCTTTTCACCACTACCATTTAAACCAGTACTAGAAGTCCTAGTCAGAGCCAACAGGCAATTTAAAAAAAAGGAATCCCAATAAGAAAAGAAGAAATAAAATTTTATCTGTTTACTTATGACATAATCTTACATGTAGAAACTCTACAGATTCCAAACAATAATTACAATAATAATTATTAGAACTAGTAAACAAATTCAGTCAAGTTGTGGCATAGAAAATCAACACTCAAAATTTTTTAACAGTTGTATTTCTATACAGTAACAACGAACAGTCTGAAAAGAAAATCAGGACAACAGTCCTGCTTAATAGCATCAAAACATATTTGGGAATAGTATTATATTAGGATGCTAAGACATAGTGCAAAGCTATGGTAATCAAAACAGCATGGTATTGATATAAGGGCAGACACATGTACCAATGGAGCAGGATAGAGTAGGGGTCTCCAATCCCTGGGCCATGGATAGGTCTGTGGCCTATTAGGAGCCAGGCTGCACAGCAGGAGGTATGCGGCAGGTGAGCAGAGCTCCACATCCTGTCAGATCAGCAGTAGCATTAGATTCTCATAGGAATTCAAACTCTATTCTCACAGGAGCTGTGCATGTGAGGGATCTAGGTTGTATACTCCTGTAAGAACTGAATACCAGTGATCCTCCCCACCACTACCCAACTCCCTCCACGGTATGTGGAAAAATTGTCCTCCATGATACCTGTCCCTAACGCCAAAAAAACTGGGGACTGCTGGGGTAGAGCACCCAGAAATAAACCCATACATATAGGGTCAAATGATCTTTGGCAAGGGTACCAAAACTGCACAAGGGTGTAAGAACTGTCTTGTCAAAAAATTGTGCTGGGAAAACCAAATATCTAGGTGCAAGAGAATGAATTTGGATTCTCATTCTACATCATACACCAAAACCAATACAAAATCAATTAAGGAATTAAGTATAAGACTTTAAACTATAAAAACTACTAAAAGAAAACATAGGGAGAAGCTCCATATCATTGGGTTTGGCTATGATTTCTTAAATATGATACCAAAAGCAGAGGCAACAAAAGCAAAAATAGACAAGTGGGATTACAACAAATAAAAAACCTCCTGCAGTAAAGGCAACTTACAGAATGGGAGAAAATATTTGCAAACCACATACTGTATATCATAAGGGGTTAACATCTAAAATATAATGAACTAGCCGGGCTCAGTGGCTCAGCCTGTAATCCCACGCTTTAGGAGGCTGAGGTGAGTAGATTGCCTGAGCCCATGGGTTCGAGACCGCCTGAGCAACTTGGTGAGACCTCATCTCTACAATAAATCAAAAAATTAGCCCGGCGTGGTAGCATGCGCCTGAGTTCCAGCTACTTGGAAGGCTGAGGTGGAAGGATCGCTGGAGCTCAGCAAGTTGAGGCTGCAGTGGTGGGAGCGTGCCACTGCACTCCAGTCTGGGCAA